AAAATGTCAGAATGTTAATTGAAATAATAAGTCATTAATAAATAATTCTTACATATTAACTAAAAATTAAATTTTACTTACAAAAACACTGAACTCTTGCTCTAAGAGTCCATATGCAGCCCAAACAACTCCAGAAAATGTCAATGCAAGAGAAAGCCATAGTGACATGAGCTGGAGGTCACGGGTTCTCCAAACTTGTAACTTTGAAAGAATTAAAACAAAACAAATTGAAAATATTAAAAAAAAAAGACTGTATGTGGAAATTTTTTAGAGAATAGTGTGATACTTACCACAATATGTAATGGTGATGCGAATATGAGGAGTGACGAAGCTGCACATATCCATCCTACTACGTAAATTCTGTAGTACTTTTGCAAAGCGAAGAAGGTGATTAGTATGCTTGAGGCAACCACGAGCACACAAATGCACCAACCCCACAGCGTACGATTCTGTTAATTAAAATACATATTAATTAAAAATATCATTGTAATTAGATACATTCTAGGTAATTTGAGTTGATAACTTACCAATGATTTACGAGGCGCATTGTATAGGTATAGAAGGATATATACTAACTCGAGTATACTTCCAACCGAATTAATGGTCAATATGGCTACATTATGATCATCGATTACGCCATAATAGATCCACAACACAGTAGATGAAAATGTTACTACGTATGGTAATGGATCAACCTCTGGGGTACGCCGGCCAAAATAAACTTGCCCAAAAGTAATACTAAACAAGATAAACAAGCAAAATTTAGTTTCAAACTATTTGCTCTAGCATGAATTGAATAATATACATTTATATTATATATATTATATATATATATATAAATACTTACAGTGGAGAAAGATAGACGAGAAGGGAAGTGAGACCGCCTATGATTGCAAGCGGGAGACCGATTGCCTCAATTTCTATGAAATTGATATAAACACTGATTAGTTTAAATAATACTTTCTGCTTAAAACCTGGTTATGTATTACTAAAAATGTTAATTAATGCTAAAGCACATGGTCCAACCAACTTAAGAAAAAAAAAAAAAA